TTTCCCCAAGTAATGTTTGGTTTATAAAGTGGAAATACCCTTCAAAGGATTCCATACGTAAAAATTCGAAAATTGTACTCAATTACAAACTCCAATTAGTTATGCTTATGATTCTTATGACGCATACTTAAGCACTGCTGCTTCCTTCCTCGTATTAAGACATTATATGTAGGCATTTTAGATGCCTGTTCATGTTAACAAGGTCAATTTACTTTTTGAATTATTTAATGTGCCAGACAATGACGCCTAATTACCTGGTCTCTAACTAGGGAATTCCGTGTACTAAGGGCAATTGAATTCACTCCGGAGCACTACTCAGAACACCCAAACCAGAATCAATTTAAAAAATGTAATTTCCCATATTGGTCCTATCCGGGAAGAGAACTCGAGCAACCTCATACAGCGCTCACAGTGCAAACCGTTGGACTAAATAGATCGAATAGATCGTCTGATATTCATCATCATACAAGATGTCAAAAAAGTCCAAACAAAGACCATAAAAAAACCAATTGAATTCACGAGGATTGTCCTCATACAAACGTCAGATGAATCACTTTTTTTATGTGAAACTGCTTTCGTGCTCGTTTAAAGAGTAACATCCTGCGATACAGTCTTTATCATCATCAGCTTGCAGGCGGACATGGGCCCAGCTAAATGGCGCGACGATCTGCACAGGGTGATTGGAGAACGGACCATATTATAGCTTTATTATAAGCATGCACTAATCATGTCCTGAATTGAACTGGAACGGTTCGTTTACATAGCGAAACTACCTGTTACTACTACTAACTATTTAAAAACTACGTATTTTTATTTAATAAATCAGATCCTATGTCATTGTAAATGACACAAACAATTTCCTAAACATTTCAAAAAACTCAAAGAAAGAAAAAGAAAGTCGTTGTAAACCAAATACAAAGATCCGACAAACAAGCACATAGAAAAATTCGTGAGGTCCGCTGGCTCGTTCCGTGCCTAGTTGGCATTTTTTCTAAGGCTTTTTTCTAAAAAAAGTAATTTTTTCTAAGTGGTCGCTCTTTGTATTAATAATTATAACAAACTAGTGGAGTAATTTCACAAAAAATAATTGAATATCAAAACAACTTTTATTCGATTTTAAATTTAATCAAAGAAAGAGTTTTGTCGGTTGGAAGTGTAAGGTGCTTAATATTTATGTAATCCCATAGATGCAATGATCACATCCGTGTGTAAATGGGCTATTCAGGTATTCTATCACTTTTGCACCGATACGACATCAGAAATCATTCGGCCACGTTGGCCTAGCGGTCAGAAACTTTCGTAGTTATTAGTTAGAATCGTAGTTACGTATGCCGACAACCATATTACAGTCCAATTACAGTCCTACCGCTTAACTGAGACAAGACATTCACAATTCAGACATCATTGGCAAAATTTTACATTTTGGCTTTTTTTGTTTGAAAGAGTGTACCTCAGTATTGGTCCCGTTAACTGCCTCTGTGGCCGAACGGTTACCATGCCAGACTGCCACGCAGAGTTCTCAGGTTCGATTCCCGGGCCGGGAGAAATATTTGTATGGCCTACATTTATTTCTCTCGTGAGTTTGGGTGTAATTTGTGGTTGTCTATATCAGGAGTTCCCAAACTTATTTTGTCTACTGCCCACTTTGAGAATAAATTATTTTTTAGCGCCCCCATTTTTTTACCTACTTAAAAACCACTATAACTTCAAATTAAATTAATTATCGTGAGCTATATTAGCGGAGATTAAACATTCTTTCTAAACGAGACTCTTACTATAGCCCGCAAGAGTTAACTTGAGACCTGAGCGCGGTAGGTAGTACACAACGGCGCTCAGGTTTCAAGATAACTCTTACAGGCTACACCTGCCAATGAGAATGTTTATTGAAACGCAACTTTATAGTATTCAGAGTATCTTTTATTCAAAATAAAACAAACATAATCGATTCTAATATAAAAACTAATGTGAAGGATGAATCTGACGCTGTTTAATAAGTTTGTCGATATCAGGTTCCAATTTACTCAATAACAGCCGCAAGTCACCACGTTCGGTAACATGCAAACGATTTCTCTTTTTAGTAAGCAGCGTTGTCGCAGCGCTAAAACCACGTTCAGACAAATATGACGATGGGAATGTTATCAAGAATCGTTGAACGATTGACCACAATCCAGAGTACAATTGCGGAAGCGGTTTTTGTAGCCAAAATTCTTGGTAGCCATTTTTGAACTTTTTTTATTTCCTCGTTTATTTTCAATTCTATAAGTTCTTCTTCCAGCTGAGATGATATTGCTATGTTGACATTTGAAAACGGATCCAACACCCAGTCTGGTATTTCCAAGTTCAAAATGTCCTGGTATCGTTCGGTGAAGTCAATGTGGAGGTTTTCCAAATGTTGGCAGTAAGCTAACAAGTCGTCGTTACTGCAGAATACTGATAAATTCGAAAAATTGTGAAACTCACGTCTTCCCATGTTCTTTTTGTGTAGAAGCAGTTTGGCTGCGAAAGCAGCAACGACATTTTTTGTTTAAATTAAATTTAGTTCATCGCCTTGCAGTTGGAGATTCATGTCGTTGAACAATTTACACAGGTCTGTCATGTAAGCTATATCATTCTTTGATGTAATGAGCTTGTTGCTCAATTCTGTATCTTTAGTTTCCAAGAACTTTATCACATAGTCAAACAGGTTGTAAAATCGAGTCAGACAATTGCCTCTTGATAGCCAACGAACTTCAGTATGAAACAACAAACGGTTGAAATCTTCGTCATTAGTAACACAAAGCTGATGAAATAATCTATCATTAAAAGAGCTGTTACGGATTTTATTGACATATTGCAGTAATTGAAATAGTCATTTACTTAAATTTCTAGCAACCAAATGTTTTCTATGAATAACGCAATGTACAGCAAGGACATCTGGAATTATATTTTTTAAGTACGCTGTGACGCCTTTATGGCACCCTGTCATAGCCGTAGACCGCCATCCGTAGCAACTGATATAATATTTTTCAAGGGAATCTCTTTCTCATCACAAAACTTTTCCAATGTATTGAATATGGTTTCGCCTTTTGTATCGGTCTCTAAATTTCTAGCAAACAGTACTTCTTCACATATTTTCTCATCTTTAATAAACCTCACGTAAGACAGCAACAATGCTTCATTAGTTGGTAAAGTGAACCTGTCGAGCTGCATTGAGAATTGACTAGTCCTCAGATGATTGCACAATGATTCTTCAATGTTTTCAGCTAATTCATCAATTCGTCTTTGCACAGAATTATTACTCAAAGGAATTTTTCAGATAATATCTGCGGCCGGTTTATGAAGCACAGTAGTTATTACTTGCTTTATTGCTGGCAAAATTACCTCTTCTCCGATGTTGTGTGGTTTGCCTTTATTTGAGCAATTAACAAAGAGATATTGTATGAAACTCGAAGTCCGTCGTTATCTTGCTTAGCAGCCGCCGAAAAGAGTTTTGCTACACTTGGCTGAGCATTATGCTTCTTCTCTAGGTCTTGAAAATATGCTACGTTCTTGTCTTTCTTATCTGGATGCATTTTATTCAAATGATCTTGCAGTCTTGAAGGCTTCATTGCTTCATTCGAAAATGTTTTTAGACATAGAAGGCACAAAGGCGACGATGGTTTTGTGGGATTTTCAATGAATCCGAATTTAATATATTCCGTACAGTATTGCCGTCTCTTCTTTTTTACTTCCGACATTGTTTTGTTTTGAGAAATACGTAAGTAAGTGTTGAACTTAAGTACTTATCTATTACGCGCGAAACCGCAAATGAAAATAAAATAAATATTACGTTGTTTATATAAGCATTGCATAAGCAACAAACACAGACAGGAATAAGACAAACATGCATAAACTCGTTTATCTCATTCGACGCTCAATCGTACTCAACTAGTAAGAACAAATATTCTATGAACCAGCCGATTGGTACAGGAATGCACAAATCGGGTTATTTAACAAAAACTGGTTAAAATACGATTGCCCGCGGTCTATTATATACGAAAATAACCTATCTAGGAATACTAATAACTATTAAAATGCGAAACTGTGCCTGTTGCCTTTTTATTTGTTTGTTTGTGTCTACTATCATTTCGAAACGGAGCGACCGACTGACATGATTTTTACTTTATTTATTCAATAAAACAGGACAGATATATGATCTACATGGAGAGAAATATCGAACCAAGTTAGTTTGAGCAATCCCTTAATTAATAGTACCTGATGTTCACAAGTTGTAGTCGAGAGTCGACAGCTCAGTCGGTGTCTTAGGGTCGTATTCCAGAACTCTACTCAATTGTCAAGTCAGGATTTGAGCAGACTTGAATATGATTTCAAACACTGGAAATACGACCCTAATGGCAAGGACTTGAGTATGATTTCTAGTGCTTTCAATTATACTCAAGTCCTGACTAATTATACTCAAGTCAGGACTTGAGTATTGCAGTTTCTTTCCCCTCCAACGCCTGCAGCGCCCATAAGGAGGCGTTATCGCCCACTTTGGGAAAGGTTGGTCTATATGTATGTCCATGGCACCCGCGACACAGGGCTTCCCTAGTGCAGGGCTATATTGAGTGTGTGCATTATTATTATTATTATTATTTAAAATTGAAGAAAATATTCCACCTCTAAGGGTGGCAAACTAGGGACTGAATTCGGTTTCGCGCACTTTCTGGTAACCGATCAATAAAACTTAGCAAATAGATGTAATTCCACGATATTTTGAGGTCGGTTTCTTAGTACTGTGTACTGAGATTATGCAATGAACTTGTTATTGAATATCGTCAAAAAAATCTGTTGAAATTATCCCTTGTGCAGCGCGACATAACTGTTACGTAAATTATCACTCGTCCCACACCGCGCAGCTACCTCTGGAACCGACTCAGTTAACCGATAGGCCATAGGAATGTAGTTAGATATGGATCCGATGTCGTACATAGTTCCTGGAACTATTGCGATCATATGTTTACTTTGTTGGCAAAAATTACCTCCGGCGGAGCTTCAGAGCCGTTGATAGATACGTTGTTCCGTGCGACTGACAGCGTGACAGCGTAAATCCTCACCTCGTACTGAGTCACGTTAGATAGATTCACAGTCTGAAACAAATATAATATGTACTCATATATCAAATATCACTGTATCTTAAGTGTGAAACACACATAGAGCGGGTGCGGTCTTATAGAAAAATTAATTATTAGCTTTATTTTTTTTCACTAATTTAGTAAATGCAAGAACAGTCCCAACCGCGAAAATTATTGAGTGGAGGTAGTGCTGGACCCCTTTGTACCATTACCGGTGTAGTGCTTAGGGAATGGAAAAAAATAAAGGAAGTGTGACCACAATGAAATTTAAAAAAAAGTAAATCTTGTACAGCTAAGTAGAGAATTACTGTATGTTCTCATACATTCTTCGATGAAACTCTGCGCACGCGGTGATTTAACTTAAATACGTAATTCACATTTTATTTTACGTAGTACGTTACCAACTGGCCACCGATACACTACATCAAGGAAAGATTTGTCACCGTAACATCTGTATTCTACGTATACGAATATACTTCTACTATTTTCTTTGCAAATCTTTTTCTGCGTACTACCACTACAATCCACATATCGATTGTAAACTGGCAATCGGTACTATCTCAATTTTGACAACTTAACAAGATGAAGAAAAAATGTTTGTCATTTAAATAGCATCCGGTTTATTAAATAAAATTACGTAGTTTTTAGATATTTTTATTACACATCTGTGTATGTACGCTACGTATTTTTAATTAATAAATTAGATGCTATATATCAATGATTTTTTCTTCATACTTTAAAGTTGTTAAAATTGAGATAGTACCGGTTACCTGTTCACAGTCTATATATCACACTCTAAGATGGCCCAAACAATTTACCACGGTAGAATTTTTGTTCTTGTAATCTAATGCTTTGAGAGTCGGTACAGAAGAGAAAAATTTCCCTACGCTCGCCAGTTTTACTTCCTTTCCATGTTAAACCTAAAAAAAAATGAAAAGCACGCGTGGACGCGGACCGTCGTCATAGCTCCTCCTATTCGCAATGTTTTATCTGGCTTTTGTAAAAACGTAAAAGACTAAAAGACACTAAGGCGACATAAACTGCAGCTTCCACATGTAAAATATCTAATTGTTAAATTATTTTAGTTAGTATTATTACGACTCAGACTCACGTCATTCTTATCATTAATTTTGTTATTTTAAATTGTTTTAAAAGCACACTGTATACATTTTTAATAGTACTATAATTTTATTCTTATTTTAATTAGGTTTTGCTGTTCAAATTTTTTTAAATAACTTTTATTTATTTGTTATTTCTATTCTATTTTGTTAATCGTGTTATTTGAGACCAGACGCGATTAATTACCTTATATTATGGAATGTCTTTGTTCCAACTTTGGTTTTTCTTGCGGACATGATAGTATAATTACACGATAAAATAATTATTTTAAATTTGTTATGAATTTTCGCAGGTTTTTACGCGATGATTTTTACTTCATAACAGTACTAAATGATAGTTTCAAATGTCTAAGAATTTACCTTTACCATGATTTCACAATGTCAATAGCAGCAAGCGACTACACTAATATGATAAATCATACAGTGGACCGGGGAAGAAGTAAAATTTATGAATATTGGTATAATGTTTTATTTTTGTTATTTATTATCAATTGACGGTAAAAATACTGACCATGAAATACAGTGAGAGATGTCTGTGCCAAAGCGAAACATGCACTTTTTTTTGCATTTGCAAACATTCGCTTATAAAGGCCTCATGAATAACGTCATTCCTGAATATTATTACAATGGAAAATTATTAGCGATCAAACTACACAAAAACATGTGCATATTTGATCAAAATTAGCATGGAATGAATTAAATGTGCACATCCGATTGTTTTCAAGAATTTCTATTAAACTATTGTACCGACATTTGAAAGTATAGGTTTTCTTTAAAATGTGCAAAACATTTTTAGTAAGTTTGATCGATTTGATGTTTGAAACTTAATTATTTAGTTCTCAAACTTACCACCATTATTGTGGTCTCGATATCGTTTTTATTGGTGGGCAGCGTGAGTCTTGTTCTGGGCTGAAGTTCTGGAATCTTCCGCAGCGTCACTATGTACTGGTCTATAGAATTATTGTACTGGAGTGGTTGGCGCCATTGAAGAAAGAGAATGCCTGAAAAGATATGAGTTCATATGATTAATAAATAGGTAAAGGAAAGGTGTTTCTTTTTTTCGGGCTTTTCTTACTTGACTTAGTAGAGTAGAGGTACTGACGTGATTGCGTTTTCTTGTACTGTGCCATTGACTTACAAATAAATGGACGACGGGTCTAATACAAAAACCACGAAAAAAATGTCCCAAGTCAACCTATTTAAACGTAGTGACATGTAAAGGAATATGAAAAAGCTAAAACGTTGAATTTAAATTGTAATGTCATCGCAGTACTGTCTAATTTTGCTTGCTTCGCTGTCAGTCGAACAAACGAAGCCTAAAGCGTGAATGACGCTCTGTATACGATTTTAACGCCCTATAAGTTCGGACACTTTTTAGCGCAGACCCGACGTCCATATAATTGTAAGTCAATGTACTGTGCCCATATTCCAAGTACAAAAATTGACAGAAAACACATTAGGCCCGGCGGGCGCCCACTGACGGGACGACTCGGCAAAGTATTTTTAATGACGAAAGGTAGAAACACCTTAAAGTTATTACAGTTGAAACTCTAATGATAATAGTCGTAACTACAAAAGCAAATTTGCGATATGCTAAGGGATACCGAACCGTCCGCCTTCGGAATGTCTCGGCAGCCTTGGGAATGTTTCGGAAGGCCGAATGCGACTATCTGTACGAGGGGCAAGGGAAGGCACGGCTGGATTGATCTGAAGAGAGACCAGTCGCGAGCACGCGTCGTACCTAGGGATCTGCGGCATAATTGCCATCAGTGTGCGCTTGCCCACTGATCCCCTGCCAAATCCCGTCAGTGCGCGCCAGGCGTAATATTCAATTTACATTGTTGCGTGGCGGAATGTAAGCGAATATTTATAACGAAACTGTACACCATAATTAACTTTATGCCAATTGCGCAACGTACAAACTAGACCTAGTAATAGGTATTAAAATTTACAACAAAATTCTTAAGGATATTTCTATTATCTATGCTTCAAAAACGTAAATTTAGAATCCCAGTGCCACCAAGAAGAACTGCCTTTGCAAATAGATACATTTCTTTTCTTGGTCCTTTTGTTTACAATAGGGTTAGTGCCAGAAATGGCTCAATACACTATACTACGAGGATATTGAGGAAATGCTGCGAGTTCATATCTGAATGACACGCACGCACTCACACGCACGCGCATACGCAAACACACACGCACACGAACACGCAAACGCACACGCAAACGCACACGCGCACGCGCACGCGCAATATCTTTTATTATTCGTACAAGTAATTATTTACTTTACATTATTGTATTTGTTTGTGTGTGTACCTGACACCTAAATTAATATTTTTGTGATAATGTAACTTGGGCAAATGAATAGGAATAACATTATAGGATCTACGCTTTCTATTTTGGTAACCTCACCTTTGAGTTGGTTACCTACGGGACAGGCTATGCCTAGTGTAGGAGCCAATGTAACACACGCCGGAATAATTTGGATTAACGAAATAAGTTTTAATAATTAATGTTTATGATCTTCTTAACTATAAACCACATCTTAATTACCGTTTATACTCTTCTATCTTCTGAATGAAATTAAAAGTGTTAATCTTAGAATGTAATATACATTGTCATTATTTAAATGTAATACTAATTTTATAATTTGTGTAAATGTTAGTCACACTAAAATTTTTCGTAATTATTTACTGTTATAAGCATGTAGAAAATTAATGTGAATTTTTGTATTAAGTACTTTTCAATTATTACCACGCCTTACTGGGCCCATTGTATAACTAAACTATTGTAACATGTATGTCTACTTATGGAAACAATAAATTATTATTATTATTTCGAAGAATGGCTGTACCAACTTACTACCCTTTGTACCTACTGAAACAAAAGCCATTATGTTATGTCATGTACATTTTTTGTTTGGCTATTATTATTTTTGCATATCATTTTTGAAATTACTCCACTAGTTTGTTATAATTATTAACAACAAAGATTCAAGACTAGGAAAAATATCCTTCGATCCGGCTGGATTCGAACCAACGTCTTCCCAGCAAACCGTGCCAGAGGCTATGCCAACTAAGCCACAGAACGAACCTAGACTAGAGAACTTAGAGGAAAAGAGAACTTTACAGAAAAAGACTAGAGAACCTAAACTAGAGTCCGCTAGACCTTACGAATTTTTCTATGTGCTTGTTGCATTTTAAATTATGTTTGTTTCTATTTTTACAATTATTATAAATGTACATTTTTAACAGGATCACGTTGATACTGTTTAAGTTCTAAGAGCAGTTTGTAACACATGAAAGCAATAAGGTGGTGACACAAGTGTTCGACAACCTTTTTTAAATTCATTTCTAATAAGATTTAGGACAAAATTGTTTATCATAGTATCGCGTTTTTATTGGTAAGGTCAATTACTGGGTGTTCATTATTGGTGAGTATCGATTACTGGCTAGTTCGATTACTAATTACTGGCTGTTGTCGACAGTTTTATCGATATAATTGTGAGAGTGTAAAATTTTGCCAAAATTGTGAATGTTAGAACGTTTCAATGCTTACTAAGTTTTTTCTCTTTTGTATTGCATTCTTTATTCTCATTGTGACACTTGGCCTACTAGTATCGTAATCAATTTTTATTCATGTACATTTGAATAAGGAAAGGTGGATCTGATTATCTATATTGAATTAAAATAAAAACTTTAAAATGTTTCCTCTTTGTATTTTGAATGGACATTACACTAAATGCAGTGTATGTATGTATGCATGTATGAACTTACAAACATTAACATTTGGAATGAACCTATGCCCAGCAGTTGGAAGAATAAAACGAGTTCGGCTATTTATTGCATAAACGTGACTAACATTTAGTCGATAGAATAGCTGCTTGTAAACGAGGCACACTTTTTCGCGATGAACGTACATACAATTTCATTACAAAAACTCGCTTTTATTCAATGTAAATTGAGCCTCAACGGCACGCACTTTCGTAGAATTCTCCCAAGTCTTGATGACCTGTATTTCCTTACCTTTAGGCTGATCGCAAGTGAGGTTAAGTATAATCGGCGCGCTTGGCGGTTTGACGTCAGTCAACACGTATAGAGCTTCTGACGGCGCACCGAGACGGTCGACCAGGTCCGAAGATTTCACACCTTCAAGTGAAAAGTTGTAAAACGCACGGACCCAGATCTTGTACGGGGTGAATGGCTCTGTAAATGAAAAATGTTGAGAGGTTATTTTCATGATGAATAGCCGGATCATTTTTTATTTTATTTTTACATTTTTTTTAATAATCATTATGTTCGTAAAAAAAACTAAGCAGTTTTTCGTTCCTTTTTAAGTAATATTTATTAGTGGAAAAGCTGGTATAAGAGATAAGTTTCTTGTACTATAATCTTGTAAATTGTGAAATGGTTTGTTTCCCAAATAAATAAATAAATCAAAAACCTATTTATATGTCCCACTGCTGGGCACGGGTCTCCTCTCAGGCGAGGGTTTAGGCTATAGTCCGCCAAGCTGAGCCAATGCGGGTTAGGGATTTGCCACGCCTTCTGAGGGTTGTGAACCTTCTTCGACAGTCAGGTTTCATCACGGTTTTCTTCACCGAAAAGCTTGTGGTAAATTTCAAATATAAATTTAGCACATAAATTCCGAGAAACTCAGAAGTGGAAACCCGGATTCAAACCCACGGCCTCTGCTTTAAATGTTAATAGCTTTCACTAAAGAGACTGATAAGCTTAGAGAATCGATAACATACATACGAGTACTACAATATTCACTGCATATAGATATAGTTGACAGTATATTAGTAGAAGTACGAGGACATATTTATCCTTTAGGTCCTACCAGTAGGAGCATAAGGAAATATTCGTCCTCGTGCTCCGGGAGCATAAGGAAACGGTCGAAATGTGATAGGTTAAACTATTAGGCTACCACGGCTTTATAGCCGGATACAAATTTGTAATATAATTTCTGGTATCCAATATCAATATTCACAATCAGATTTCCTACCCTGGGCTCGAAGAGTTTCTCTGGGTAAGAAGATGTAATCATAAAATTAAAAAAAAAACGATCGCAAAAAGATATTTTTACAACTATTTATTTTATTAAGAGGGCCACAACATTTTTAATTCATCTCCGCAGGATACGAAGCAGGTAAAGGTCGGGGACCACTGTTGAAAATATATACTACAATACGTCTTAAAGTCAATAAAATGAATTGCCGGGTCACAAGAGTCAGCGTCAATATGATCTGCGAATTAAAAGTAATCAAAAGTATAAATAATTCAATTAAAATCAACCTTACACCTAAGTTCCTAAGGCATATTTTCGGTTGATATTAACAATTGAAAACGCATTTTAAATTTCGATTTCAATTTCATTTATTGCACCATATAAAGTTTACAAAGATCTTAAAAAATAAACATTACTTCTTATTATATGATACCCTGCAAGGGGACAGCTAAATACATTAATGTAATGTTGATTTTTATCAAGTTCTGGTTTGCCAGCTCGGATCATTATGACGATGATGACTGTACTAAATGCCTAACTAAGACTAATTATCTTCAGGGGCACCACTCAGGACATAAAACAGACTAGATAAGCAATTTACAGGTCGTTTATTAAAACTATTCTACCCGGAAACTGAACATAGGATCTCTCAAGTATTGTTTAATCGTCAATACAGTGCGGTGGAATAAACTACGAAAATTATTCAGTTGTGTGACGGTGCGACCTCCTTGCATCGTCATCCCACCTTTCCATCGCCTTTCTCCGGTTCCTGGCCACTCGAATTTAAATTTAAGTTTTGAATTGTTCCATTCTTTTGCCTCACATTTTGTTTCGTTCCATCGTCACTCCCTGCTCGATCGCGACAGCGGACGGAGCTGTTTAAATTCAATCGCGTCTAATTTTGATTATTTTACTGAGTTATAATCATTATAATATAATCTAAATCATGTGTCAATTCTAATAAGTGTATAACAGTCTATGAATACGTATCTGTAATTCAGTATAACTCGGCCCTTTTAGGGCCTTACTCTTACTTCTTTGTTATCATTTCTACTTAACCCGACTTTTAATAAATTTGTGGACCGGAAGTTTTCTGTTTTACTGTACTGTACGTGAACCTGGTCACGGCTTGTTAGGGTTACAAACCTTTCAGTTGCTTGCTCGATTGTTACATACAGCGAATTTTAGCTTTTTTAATATGCGATTTATAGGCGATTGCATCGATGCGAACGAGCGACTGCATCGATACAAACGTGCGACTGCATCGATACAAAATTTCCAGGTGTAGCAATGCAATAGCGCGTTTGTGTCGATGCAATCGCTCGCTTGCATCGCGTTGGCATCGTTGTTTAAAATCGCGCGCGCGTATAAAGATAGACGATTAGCGACTGCATCGCGTTTGCTTCGCTGCTAAAAGTCGCAGTTTGTAACTGCTCTTACTTACACTATTTCAATACCTTCCAAAGCACTATATCTAAAGTATTAAAATATACCACACATCAAAATGTCCAAAGTGATAATGAATTATATATAGTGGCCGAACGGTTACCATCTGCCTGCCTGACCGCCACGCAGAGGTCTCGGGTTCGATTCCCGGGCCGGGAGAAATATTTATATGGCCTACATTTATTTATCTCGTGAGTTTGGGTGTAATTTGTGGTTGTCTATGTGTGTGTCCATAGCACCCGCGACACAGGGTTTCCCTAGGCTATGTTGAGTGTGTGCGTTATTATTATTTATTATTAAAAAAAAATTAAATTGGCGTAAAATTTTATATCGAAAAATTTTAATTTAATGATACGGCTTCTTTGTTAATTAATAACTATATTTTAATAAATTAATCGGTACAATTAAAATTGATTACGCTCTGTCTACGTATGTACAATCCTATTAATACATAAATAGGCAATTTGCCTCCCCATTTCAATCTATGAGGCAAATTTTATTTCTCCCGCTAGATCATAGTTTTCCAAAGTGGTTCTAGTTCTAGGGGGGCGGTAGTCTGCATTATCTATATAAAGTACTCTACATACATACATAATTTTATTCTTGTGATTTTTTTGTGTTAAGTTAATATAAAAAATACTTGTTTTGAATTATTACTTGTGATGGTGGATGTTGAAATTTTTTTATCTTGCCTAAGTGGGCTGTGAGCTAAAAAATTTGGAAACCTATGCACTAGATGGGTGTTGATGTTGTTTTAGTTTTAAGAATTAGATTTAAGCGTGTATAGCGAGTCAGTTTAATGAATAAACGTTTTCCTTCCACATTGACTGCATGTATGCAGAGAATACTTGAATTAAAATCATCATCAATCATGTCAAAAATGTTGAAAATGAATACAAAGAAATGTTATTTTTTATACAAGTTTTTATAGCAGTAGACCTTACCTATTTCTGCCGCCTAGTAGTAATGTTAGCATTAGTGTGTTCCAGTTTTGAAGGGTAAGGGGGTGCTGGTGAAATTACATAACTTATGTCTCAGGGTGTCGGGCGCAGTGGCAGTGCCTCTCAAATCTTTGCGATTTAGAGCTCAGAATGGCACTGCACCTGTTATGGACAGACGTGTAGCTTACCATGAGGAGCACGACTTCTTCGTCCCATCACTTGATATTATAAAAAAAATACAATGTTTCAGTGTTTTTGACACCTAAAAATACATGCCACGCAAAACATTCCAACAGATAAACGTAGAATTTACACAATTTTTGTTTAAAAAAACTACGTCTATAAATAATTGACAACACATACGGCATTCATAAACTATCTTCGCATTTTTTTCCAAGTCATTCAGGTTACGCCATAACTCAATTTCACTAACGTGTGACGATAGGACTCATTTCTCTGGCCAGGTAATTGAACACGGTTCAGTTCCGTCATGTTATGTAAGGGCTATCCAGTTGAATTTGAACTGTCGGCGCGATGCGGATTTTTAAAAATCTATTTTTTACTAACTACAAGAAAATTGATAACGTTAGTGCTAGCACCACGACTTCCGGGTCCAGATATAAATGGGCAGCGTAGTGAGGTAATCTTATGACATAGATCGTAGATAGGATCAACACCTCGTAAACCTACACCGTGAGAAATTTAAAAAAAATACAACATAGTGATTTGAAATATGCGAAAAACTAATACTTTGATTTTCGTTAACAGAAATATTTGGTAAGATTTAAGAATAACACTAATTACAGGTTTCTTACCACGATATTATGATGACTTTATAGCCAGTCGACCCGTGATCATGGAGCGTGTAATCGTTTCGAAATATCGGGAAAATAGAAAGAAATCATATCGTGGTAAGAAACCTGTACTTAGTGATAATCAGGCTATGAATAACCACGAAAGCCTTTAAGTCTATAGATTTAAGAATTTTCAGCAGTAGACCTCCTAGTGAAAGAGGACATCTAGAGTCATACTTTCGCCATATCGATTTCTATCGCCAAGCAGTAATGTGAGTGTTACTGCGTTCCAGTTTTGAAAGGTACGGAACCTTGTGAAATTATAGGCACATGAGACTTGTCAACTTTGTCTCAGGGTGACGAGTGCAGAGGCAGGGATGCCCTGCCCTTTAAGCCGAATACTGATTATTTGCAACATTACATACAATGTAACATGCAGAGCATACATCCCATACATTTCAATGTGTTCGCAAACACACTGTGCGCTCTATACGCGCATTCGCAACGCGCATGTTGCGTTGTGACCCGTCGATTGTCGAGTTGTCGAGAAATACTTTGAGTATTGTACTGCGCGTACGGTTCGAGGACGTTCACGTTGCATTGCATGTTACGTTGGAAATAATCTGTACAGATCTTTGCGATTTAAGCTCTGAGTAGCACTACAACTGTTATGGTTGGGCGTGTCGCTTACATGAGCCAGGCAAACAACAAGCTGTCCCGTCACCTGGTATCACAAAAAAAATTTACTCGTATAATTTAAAGTGTAATAGAACGAACAGTTTGTAGATTTATATATATCTAACATCTCAGGAGTTGTAAATCTTGTCGTATGTATATTAGTTTTGGATTTGGATCTTTGGATTTTTACGATTGCGCAGGTAGTTCACGGTTCATAGCCAGCTCTTTGTACTCTTTATAACTGCTTATTTTATTTGTTGACTGTACGCCATTCTTGGTCTATCTTCCCTTCAATTATAACTCTCACAAATTTGTCATTATGTAGCAAATGTTACATATTAGTGATGGCAAAAATTGTGCATGAAATTGATTTTAAAGTACAGGATTGAAAGTCCCGCAGTAGACTGCGATAAAGTGCTAATAAACATAACCGACCTCTCCGAATTAACCAATAATAACAATAAACATTTTATAGTTATTTTTCCAATGAAGTGTATCTATAGTGACTATTTCTGGAGATATGACGCCTACGCAGATGTTTCTATTCTGAGTAAGCTTCCCATGTCCCTTATTCTATTCACACAATCATGAATTGATAAATATAGAGTATATCGGAAATGTACAAAATATTTCGAAGTTCTGTCATTTATCTACCATAGAACTATATAACTTGAAACCCAACATATGACGAATTCTACACATTGCCGAACCCACTTCGAATTTCCTAATTTGAAACTCAGACTGAGAATGTTTCCAAAATGTAAAGCATTTGAAATTTCAATTTCACACATGCATATACTTTGTGTGAAATAAATACAAGTAATATCAGGAAATCTCTCTATTTTAACACCAACTTTAACAGCTACCTGTTAAATGGCTTTATTCAATTTATCTTCCTTCAATCATCAAACTTATAAGATCAAGCAAAATGTAACAAGAGTGGAATTGAAACATTTCTTTCGGATCTGAAGTCGTGTTCATTAGTTCTGTTTCATTTTTCAAACAAACCGGGCCCGTTACAGGTTCCATGGTCACGGTTGACTAACTGACAAGACGAGTAAAGAGCCCAAAACGTTGGTTTTTTAGAAATAACTAATATTATATATTAAATCCGAAAAAATAGTTTCATTTCCTATCTGTAGCAATTTGTCACCAGAATCTTATAATTTCTTGAAATTTTTCTATGGAATGGCAATCACATTCTGTTCTTAATGACATCCCACAAAAAATCTACAAAGAGTGTGCAGTAGTTATTTTTTGCTATAGCAAGTAATTATAAAAAAACACTACTTACTCAAATTCCTCAACCGGAACCCAACCACCTTAGTCAAAACACCAGAAGTATTTAACAATGTCAGATTCTTAGTCGCTCTAGAATAGTGTTCCATTCCCAAATCGCTCGAAAATACATTCTTCTTTTTCACATCAGCCGAACTTTGCACACCAACAATCGTCGAAGTGTCAGATCTTGGAACTCCTTGCTCATAATACAAAACGTATGCAATCTGAGTAGGATTTTTCACTGGTATAATAGAATTATGCGACTTTTTAACAACTTCTATAGGCATATCAATCGCCTGATACGCCTCAATATCTTCTGCACTCTTCTCTAAATGAATCTTAGTATCAGTAGCGTTGTTTTGCCGTCTCTTTCTGTGTCTGTGAGATCTTAGCTCCCTCTTATTACGGTAATTATCATTGTTGATGAGGTCATCGAATTTCGGCTGGTCGCTTCGGTACCATGTATAGTCGAACTCTTGTAGCGGTGCGTCTGATATCATTTCATTATTATCTTTGCTGGGTTGGTCAGATTGTGGTTGTGTTTTTGATATGACGGTAAGGTCTTTTTCGGTGGTTGTTTGCCCGCTATGGTTGGGCAAGGTGATTGCAAGAAAGGTTAGAGGCGGGGCCCATGATAGATGGATTTCTTCGGCTGTGACTCTGTTCGCTGTTAGGTTTTGAGGCGCGGACGGAACTGAAACAAGAGAAACAATAATTGGATATTTATCATCTTCATAAGGATAGACTAAACACCGATGCATTACTAGATAGACTGAAAACTAGTGCTTGAGGACCGCGTACAGTACAAACAACGTGAGCACGCTCCAAAACGAAATACCGTAGTGTAGATTACAAATCAAGTTCTAGAAAAAGACGGTCAGGTGATTTCGGTTTTCTAGAGCGGCATTTCTGTCACTCATAGTTGACATTTTGTCGCTGTTTTCTCGCTAATTTGTCTGTCGTTTATCAAGTTCCGATTATGGTCGATAGTCTTTCTAAAGCTGGATGTGTAATACGGTATTGTACAATATGGGTCATTTGATGAAAAAACCCTTTAAAGTCTGCAACGTATTATTTTAGAAAAATACAATACGTATTAACTAATGGAACCAAGGAACTGTCAGGTTATTTACATCCAGCTGTATTGTTGTCCGTAAAACTGCGACAAGAAATTAATACAATACTAAATGCGGTGGTAGCCCAGTTTGAGAACTCCTGTGACGGGTGTGACTGTACTTAAAACTTAAGACGAGGTATTTCAATGCGAGCCTAGATTTAAGGAGGTGAGGTGGGGGGTCAACTCTCGCGTCCCGCAATACGCGCGCTGTAAATTAATAAAAATAGGCCGAAAAAAATTTGACACAGATCCGATGTAGACAAGCGCCTCATGGCGAGTGATGGAGCAAATAAACCGTTGTTGGGCAAATTGCCCAAATGCAAATTTTTAGATAAATGTGAATTTTAATAACTAATAGGGCTTCAGTTGAAAACCAAAAAATTTTGCAGGTTCTCATTAATACTTAAAGAGAAATACCTCCATATATTGTACACATACGTTGGTAAACCAAATAAATAAATTTAAAAATAATGTACAAGATTAAATATGATATTCTTAAATACTTTGTTTTAAACGGTTTTATATGATCAATTAAAGTACATCCTATCATAACACATCCAAATTATACATTAATGTACTGAAATTTAAGGTAAATAATTTATTATAAGATCGGAACAAATAGTTTATAACATAATTATAAATATAAACTTTCTTGGATTAAAAATCACTTTCACATCTACTTCTTATGTACACTATGTTGTAATACTAGTCATAAATAAAACAAATATGATAACGCATGACTCGCATTCTGCGATGCCTCGTAATTACGCAATTCAGTAACAGTAGTGAGTGAAATCACAAGGTTCTGCGTACATTTATAGTAGATCTTATATCCATTTAGATAAAGACCTCAAATTCTTTCCTTGGCGCTTATGGCGTTACAGAATAATATGGATCTGACTTCAGTCACAGTAAATTGATTAGCAGTAGGGTTCCGTGTTGATTTTTTTTAATAATGTCAAGTGATGGGACGAACAAATCAAGTAAGCGGCACGCCTGTCCATTTCCATTGTCCAGCTGTTGCAGTGCCATTCTGAGCTTTAAATCGCAAAAATCTGAGGGGCACTGCCACTACGCCCGTCACCCTGAGACATAAGTTGACATTAAATATGTTTAAAGTAGCCATCGCAAAAATCTGAGAACTCCATATAAACATCTTTTGTTTACGCAATTTAAAATAATAGACAATTAACGAAAACAAAATAACAATTTGTGTAATACCCAACTTATAAATAAAATAGAAAATTTGAAAGAATTCAATAGCTATTCTATGACTAGGGCCCATTATCTTTCAACTCGGAGAAAGCTGTCTCAGCAACCGAATGCTACTTCGTTATTTTGACATCTCTACGCCGTTTAGGAGATATGATGAAATACTTGTTTATGATGGTAGGCTAGGCAGAACGTCGATTCCTTACCGAAGCGCTGCGGTGAATATTATTATTTTGTTTTTTTATAGTACTTTTTTCAGTTTTACGTAGATTAACATTCCGTTTGGGTATTACACAATTTCACGGAAGTTCAACCATGCAGACCCGTCATCTCGGCGACTAGTTCTTCACTATCAGTTGCGATGCAATTTCTACCCTCGTAACCCCTGGCCGACCATTATTTCGAAGCCGTAGACTAGTTTGGAGAAGTATCAGTCTGCGACGGCAAAACCTAGGCGGGCAATTAATATATTTTTAAAGGTTTTGTTTCCTTCACTAAATTATATATGATGAATTTGATAGTTTTATTTTCATAATATATTGAACGTCAGTGGCGTGATTAGTGGTGGTAATTTTAGACCTCAATAATCTCCGGTCACAGGTCGAAATTCACAATCTAGGCTTCTTCGCGACCTGTAGCATTGTATTTTTATGCTAATTTCAAATTTCGTACATTTCGGTTGAAGAACAGCCAAATTATTCTGTTCGTTGATTGTACAGTTGGGAGTGGATGCTCAAAAAGCGTTCGTTCGCTGCGCTTCGATAATGGGTCTTACAGACAGAGTGACCACTCTTAATCAATCCATCACACATCCCACTAGAGGGCAATCTACGGACAGGATTTAGTATCCGCTACGCTGGCCAAATACGGGTGAAAAAAAAACATTTATTTATATACAAAACAGATAAACCATAATATAAGCGAACCAAGAAACAATAAAACTGTAACGTGGACAAAAAGGATAAAGACTGCATTGAACTCAGCAAACATATTTTCAGTCTTCACACAATAGCCATTCGCTTGCTGCACCTGACCGGCAAGCGGAGTGTATACTAAACAAAACACCAAGTAATTATACAAAGGTTAGGTATCTGTGTTACATTTTACGTAATAGTTGTAAAAGACCAAAAATTCTAAATTTATTTACTTAAAGTTGCTAGGAGTTTTAACCAAGAACCAATTGCGACTCGATTTCTGCACAGACAGGAGCCCTCATATTTTTGTTAGCATAAACGAATATAGCGTTTTAGCACTTTTTACAGGAGGCGGCAGGTCATTTCAGCATTTACTCGCTGCGAATCGAAAGCTGCCCCGACGAAAGAGAGTAAGCGAGGAACAATTAATAGACGTAGATGCGGGTTCCGTAGACACTTGACATTGGCAGGTCACTCCAGCAAAGTTTGGAGACTTCACACGGTTTCCAAGGGTTATAAACCGTCTTCGAAATACAAGTTTCGGTACAATGTTTTCTTTCGCCGCTTAAGGCGAGATATTTCAACGAGTTCCTACATTTAAGGGGGTGAGGTGTGGGGGACCGCCCCTCGCTTCCTGCAGCCTGCGCGCTGACAATGTGAATAAAATAAGAACAGGCGGAGAAACTTTGACACAGACAGTCGTCGACAAGCGCCCGATGGCGACTGACGAGGCAACGGGCGGCGCGGCGCATCGTTATACCGCTAGGAAATTTTCAAATTTTGGGATAGATCTAAAATTACTATATGGCTTCAGTTGAAAACTAAAATTTTGCTAGTTCTCTGTAGCACTTAAAGAGAAATATCTCCATATTAAAATTATGTGCAAAGTTACATATTTCTTAGTTTTTTGTTCTTAGTTTCAGACTTTTATGTTAACCTGTTTTCAGGATTTTATAAGATGGAGTAAAATACATCCTATCTTGTAACAAATTAGCAGATTCTTTAGACAATGTCCTTAGGTGCAACGTATATTTTTTGTAAGACCGTCATTTAATAGTAAACTGTCATTCAAAAGTAGTGTAAACCATTTCATCTAGCAAAACAGTTTTTCCCGCTTTTCTACGATGACTCGCCTTAACTGGCAATTGATAAAAGCGTAACCGGTGTTGTATTCCTAATGGGGTCCTTTTTGTATATAAATAAAATGGCAGTCGGAGAATAAGGTTCATAAAACTCGACTAAAACCCTAGAACTTACATAGAATGACCACCATATCTGATCAACACAAGATGCCAGCAATAGAGATACACGTACCATCACAGACAAACTCTATTGTGCCCATGTGCAGGCAAAATATACAGTGACTCAGAAGGTGCTCATTTGTAAGTCTGATACTATTATGATGCAATTTCAGTAAAGTGTACATTCACATATTACATACCTCATATCCAGCGACCGAAGATGTAATCGTTATAAGCGTTTCAGCGCATACAAAATTAAGCACAAATCGCATGCCGATAAAATAGAATTTACAATGTACCGGTAATCGGTTTCCATAACCGAAAAAAAAGACAAATTAATCGTATCTGCTTGCATTTCGTGTTAAATTTTCTACGAGCTGAAATATTTGTATCTGTTACTTCTTTCGATTTTGCCCATGCATATCTCTTTACTGGTCACGGCTCTCTACAAACAATTGATTTTAGAGCTTGCAGAAAGCTGGGACGCGAATTGCTGTAATGCGATTTCGTACGGCAAGTCATTTCACTGCCACGTGTCGGGTAACCATTCCTTCGATGATTGTCAACGGTACTGAACGTATTTTTTGAACTAGGTATGCGACATGGATCCTGGCCGGATGGATGGCCAGAACATTACTACCATCTTTGTATAATAAATAGATATTTATACACATTTTTATTGAACATTTAACTAAATTTCAAACACTCCAGAACATCAGAATAGTGTCACTTTTGTATTTACAAAGCTTTCTTAACAAATTCAATTTCATCTCATTAGTTTTAGAAGACTCGAGTTCGTATAACGTACAAAGGTTGATGAGTAGACTCGTTTAGACCTCGGTCTGGGTCTGAGTTTATTGACTTTTAAAGGACCGCTATGGCTTCTTTGAGGCGGCTCATGTAAAAAGAGTGTTGCACTGCTGTTAATAATAAGAAATTATAGGAAAAAAACACAAAGAAGACTAACATCGCAGTAATGCGCGATGGAGAGCAATTCGCAAATTCTTGCGGTGCGTCGTGCGATCTCGTAGATTTCTGCAATACGACATCGCATAGTAGTTTCGTGTTTCGACCCTTAATGGTATAATCCTCTAGACTAGACTATCACAACTCCCGAAGACATACCGACGTTTAAACAATTGGATACTTCCAATCGCCTAAGATGGCCCCTCAATCAAAACTCAATATCAATATAAATCTAACAGAATCT